GCTTAGACAACGTGTATTTTTAAAATTACTTCGCCAATGAACTCATAAGATAAGTCGTTTTTTAAGTAATTTACAACATTCGCGTCCGTGTTGTAAACGGCCGCTCATGTTGTAAATAGTACTAAAAAGCTCGTGCTGCGAACTCGCGTTTAAAATAGGGTAAAACCCTCCTATGCGTGCTTTAAATAGTACATGGTAAAGCACGTACTGCGAGTGTTTTAAATGGCTTAAATAGCTCATTGATATTACTAGCTCAATTGAAAGCCGAGACATTTCTGACTAGAAAAGCGAGCGTATCGTTATCGACATATAAAGACAACAGTTCATTATACTGTAGATGCATTTATTTTGTGTTTTGCTTATGAATTACCAATGAGTTTTTGAAAGTAGTACTAATAAAAACACTGATAACTTCGTGGCCCTCTCTACCCTAAATTTTACATTTATGAACAGAAATTTGCCATATCTATATCACAAGTAAAGTTAAAACACCAAAACTAATTTAAAAACAATTACATATATATGAAGAGAACATGGTAGTCTTCTGGTCATTTAAAAAATATTTATATAAGTTATACTTAAAGCTAGCTACAGAGTTCCTCTTCCATTCTATAATACTATCCCAAATGTAAAGGTGCAACAACCCTCAGTTTTCCTGATGCACTTAGAACATATTAAGATCGAATCAGCATAACTTGACGAGTTTCTCTGTGTCTGTAAACATGTATTTTTGTGATTTGCGTGGGAAGTTGGTTAACTAAAGCAGTAAAGTGAATACTAAGGTTACATTCCGGCTATCCTGAAATAATGAAATTATCTGAAGATATATATTCATTGCATGATCGACTGATAAGTTCAAACATTCCAGACCAGTAAAACATGATTCGTAAACAAACAGGCTATGCCTGATTAAAATATATATATGTTATTTACAGGCTGGGAGGTCCGTACTGCAAAAATATTTTCCCAAGGTCTCAGAATATATATATATATATATTATATATATATATATATATATATATATATATATATATATATATATATATATATATATATATATATATATATATATATATATATATATATATATATATATATATATATATATATATATATATATATATCATAATTTTCTATAATGTGAAAAAGAATTTCAATACAGTTCAACTCTCCAATGGCAACTTTCGCGTTCTCACTGCAATATACAAAAGGAATTCTAATACTATATACATACAGGGTGTATATAAAAAAGGAGACCTTTAGAAATCAAGCATATTGTTAAAATTTGAATGCCTTTTCAATTGCACATATGCTGAAGCGTATAGTGCGTAAAATATTGAAGGGGTGCATATATTACAAAAAGGAGACCTTTAGAAATTGAAATAACGTTTAAACAAAAGATTGTCTGCTCCTGGGAACAACCTGCCATGCATACGGTACGTAGATCGCATGTTACTCACTCGTGGGCTTAGCAAAGTGCTCCAGGATTCAAGTTATAACAATAGTTGATTTCTAAAGGTCTCCTTTTTCTAATATATGCATCCATCAATATTTCGCGCACCACGGTTCAGCATATGTGCAATTGAAAAAGGATTCAAATTTTAACAATATGCTTGATTTCTAAAGGTCTCCTTTTTTTTGATACACCCTGTAAATATATATATATATATATATATATATATATATATATATATATATATATATATATATATATATATATATATATATATATATATATATAGATTGTCTATATCTTAAAATTAAATATCGCTACTCTGAGTTTCACGTCCTTTCACGATTTTGTTACTGATTACGTGATTGCATCATCATCAACCGTTCGCTGACGCGTTAACTTGTTTGTTCGCGCGCGTTCGAAATTCCCGGCGCTGAATTTTTCTCGATGGCGACATTTCGCGAAGAACTCGGATATATATACATATATATATATATACATACTATATATATATATATACATATATATATATATATATAGTGAAATGTTGCTGATGACAAGATACAAGTGTTGTCTATAGTGTTTAGAGATAATGTATAGTTAATCCCCGAGCCGACGGCGCGAAGCGCCGTGCGAGGGTACTAATTCCCCCCGGCTATTTACACCCGGGGAAACGAAAGCATTAGCGGTGTCTAAAGTTCATCAAGTATCGCGGGCGTGGGTGACCAACGGTGTTGAGTGGGTGGTCATCCTCACTGATCTCAAAAATATGGCGGACTGTCATGAATAGCGGACACTGATTGGTCCAATTTAAAGTTTGCATCATAACGACTGTATGACGACAGCGAAATAGCAAACATTTCTTGATTTGATCACAGATTTGATGATTGGTAAATTTGTTGCAAATATACTTCAATTTTACTCGCATTTTTGCAAGAATTTGTAAATTTCAAGATAGAAACGGCGAAAGAATCGGCTAAAAGAAGGGAGCCGACGTTAACGAAGGTAAGTGTGTGTTAAATATTGATTTTATAATTGCTTTAAAACCCGACGGCCTTTGGCCCTTTGCGTATATGAAATAACTAAACAAGACAGCATATAATTTCAGTCAATTCAGTGTATTATTAATATTGATTCCTTTTTATTATATTGAATTTTTTTACTAAAAAGAAAGCAAAGTTATTTGCATGCGAGAATTTGAAATCATTTTGTTGCAAACTCAAAGTTTATCGATAAAGCCATTTAATTAAAGCCAGGCAATTTAGTTTTATAAAGAACGTTTTAAAACGTTTTGCGAAGCTTTTGTGGTTGAATTTTACCTTAAATTGAAGCTTATATTACGTATAATAACATACCTAACAAATATATGTTGGGAAATTGATCATTTTGTAATTAAAATTGATATTTTTAGGCAATTTTTCATTTGTAAGAATATTCTTAAAAAATTATCGTGTTATTACCATGACAACAACTTTGGATACTTCATGTTTGGAAAATACAATGGTTTGTCAGCAAGGCGAGGGTTTCTGCATGCGTGTATTTTCTAGTATATGCATAATAGATTAGTATGGATAGTTATAGGTATAAATATGGATCGTAGAAGTCGGCCATATTGATTATTGTACTTCAGTAATAACATGTACAAGTTTGTATGTTTTCTGGTTGAAATATAAATCTCTTATAATAAAGAGACACTAAATTGTCCATACAAAAGGTTTCAATGTACAACCAAAAGAATCATTTATAACGTCAAATAAAATAAAAGCTACTCAAATTTTGCGCAAACGTTTTCGCTTTAATATTAGCTCCTCTGCTGGATATTTACAATGAGTGGAATTTGGTTAGTTTATCTATTATCATATTATAACTATGTTAGGTACGCGTATATTTACATTGTGTGAAATCACGCGTTAAAAACATTCTATTTATCTAATTGTAAGCATAAGTGGTTTTTTAATTAGCGTGCAGATCCGGATTCAGTATATTGATAAGTTCTTTTTCTTTCATCTCCTTAAAAAGTCTGTCCGTGTTAATGCATTGATATATTGGCATTATTTTGAAAATTCCGTTGTTACACATAATATTTAAGTGCTCGCTTACTTTTTGATGTCTATACTCTGCGTGTCGAATTTGTTCCTTGTGTAATGTCACTCTTTTGCGT